CTCCCCCAAAGGGCAGCCAGAGCTCCTTTTCAATTATACAAATTACATGCATTTTTCCGCTTGTGAAACTGTTTTGGAGCCCAGTTTTGAATAAGTTAAGGGATTCCTCAAACCCCTCAATGGCTGCAGACGCCCCTCCCCAGCCCTCTGCCATCTCTGGAAGCAAGCTCAGCCTCCCACACTGCGGGAGGTCTACAGAGCTGGGCTCACAACAAATGGGGCTACCTGAGTGTCCACCCAAGTGAAAGAGGTAGAAACCTGAACTCTCAGGTTCCCTGTGCCCTCCTCCATTGGGATCAGGGTTTTGTTCCTCCATCCCACTGTCCAGCTCCAAAAGTCTGGGAGAAGCCTACTGTCCTGGCCTCATCCCACGGTGCTGCCTGCAGTGCCCAGAGCACTGCAAGCCTTGCAGGCACCACTCAGTTTCCTGGGCTGCCTGAGGCACATGCAGCTGGACTCTTGCTCTAGCCTTGATGTTCAGCTGCAACTAGGGCAGCAGCGGGCTGCGCACCTGCATCCCCCAAGGAGCCGTTGGAAATGCAGAACATTTCTGCACTGGTAGCTGGAGGTGGAGAACCTGCGCGCTTCATGTCCTGCACTGCCTCCTGGGCAAGTCCGCACTGAAAGGGACCCACTCCCCAGGCTTTAGGGTGCCCAGCTTGTCTTCTGCACTTGGATCAATATGCAGGAGGGCCGTGCTGTGATTGGCAGTATGCTTGGCACTGGAATAACGAAAACAAGGGGGCCGGCACAGTAGGCAAGAGAGGGGAATAGAACGAGCTATTTCCTCTATACATAATTCATTTAGTAACGGAATACTGTGGGTCAGTGTTTCTTAGCCTCCTGTTCACCTCCCCTTCAGTCTCCTAAAGAGCTTTGGAAGATGATTTTTCCTAAACCCACCCCCATGACATCACAACAACACAGATGCTCATATATCTGTTTATGTACTATATACATGCTGGAGGGGAAAAAAGAAACCTTCTATATTGCCTGTGGAAATGTGAACTAGTATACTTTCTACAGAAATCAGTATGGAGAGCCCTCAAAAAACTAAACCTGGAAATTCAACTCAATTCCCCTTCTAAGTGTCTTTCTGGAAGAGTGAAAGCCATCAACGACAGCAGTACACATGCACTCAGGCTTAGCGGCACAGTCACAGTGGCTGAATCTTACAAGCAGCCTAGGTGCCCATCAGCAGATGAATGGATAAACAAGTTGTGGCACTGTACGCAGCCGAGTGCTGCTCCACCAGAAAGAAGGATACATTTGAGTTAGCTGTAGGGAAGTGGACGTACCTTGAGGCCATAGTCAGTGAACTACATCAGGCACGTAAGTTGAAATATCAATAACCTCTCTTATATGAGAAAGCCAAAGTAGAGATAAGTTAAAGAGCAAGAAAAGATGAACAATAAGACAGAAAGGTAGAACATTGCTAAATGGAAAGGAATCATGAGATGGAAAGGGGAGGAGGAAGGAGAGGGAAGGAGGACAAAGTGCCGAGGTGTGTTCTGTATGTGTATTGACTCCTACTTTACAATAAATATAACCATTATGTACTACAAACAGTACTAATTAAAAAACTTTAACAGAAAATGTGAGATATTTTCACCTCCCACCCAAGAACCAATTTTCAACTGCTTGGGCAAGGTGGGACCCCCTGCTAGAATGCATGGTTAGAAAGGGGTGGAATAGTCCATTTATTTCAGGGAGCAGGAGCCACAGAAGAGGATGCAGAAGGGACATCAGAGAAGACATCACAGAGGAAGTGGCACTTACCCAGGGTTCTGAGGGATGGGCAGGTGTTTTGCACAACAGGGAAGGGACTGAGGGTCCCTTCCCATCTGGGCAACCTGAGCTCCTGCCCTCCTAGCAGACCATAGTCACTGTCCTGGCCAGCCTCGAAGACAACCTTGAGCACCCTCCACCTCCCTCTGGACATGGGTGCTTCTCTTTCACAGCAGCTCAGTGTGAATTTCCGTGATCAACAGAACACACCTGAAGTACTGAGACTCAATTTGCACAGGTCCTAAAGGATACACTGGCTTGGTCTTCTAGGTGATTCACTTTGGGGGATTCCATGCCATGCCATGGGGACATGCAGGCAGCCCATAGACAGTCCCTCATGGCAAGCATGCCACCTTGGCAGTGGACCCTCTAACACCAGGCAAGCAGATCTCCCAACTGAGCCCCAAACACCAGGGAGTAGACACCAGTCTTTCTGTGGCTGTGAATTCCTGATACTTAGAAATAATGCAATAATAAATCACATTGCTGCTTTGAGCTATTAAACTTTGGGGTGATTTGCTACCCAGTAATAAATTACTACTAAAATCTCTATTTCATAGCTTAGTTCCCCTTAAGGCTGTTTAGAGTTAACTCATTCCCACAGCTTTTCTGAGAACCCTGAGCAGCAGATGGTTCCGGGCTGGACCGAGGGCAGGAAGCCCCTTCGCTCCCTGTCTGGGCACAGGATTTCCCGTGGAGCTTGGCCTCTCATATCTGGAGAAAATGTCTGTATGCAAATCTTCCATCCTTCCATCTCTTTCTGCCTCCTTCTATCCCTCTGATAGTTCAGCATTTATCTAATAAAGTCTGAAATGTTAGGGAAAATGGAGGTAGAATATTTCAGACCTTGGTTTTCTCCTCTCTGGTCTTGCAGGCCAGCCAGGCGGACAAACATTTGCACACCTGCCCCTATATCTGCAAAACCTGAGGAGAGGCACAGGCTGAGGGGAGAACCAGGCTGAATACCTGCTCTTCTAGACACAAGGCAGAGGGGTTAGCAAAATTTTCTACAGGGCCCTCCTTTGGAAGACTCTTAGCAGTAATCAGGAGAATCATAGCTCCATAAGCTGGTCTTGAGGAATGCCGATCTGGCCACACTGCCTGTAGGGTGAATGGGACGTTTCTGGTGGCAGGAATGCAAGAAAACCCAGGAAAGCTGCGTCATCAAGGTGCACGCTAGAGAAGGAGTTGGGGCAGGGCTAGGCGCTTACTGCATGCAGGCTCTGCTCAGATCACTTGCAATCTTTGAGTGCGTACAGCACCCGCATACTACTCCAACTACACAGGTGAGTGAACTGAGGCGGTAAGTGGCAGTGCCTGGCCCTGAGGAGCGTGACCCTGTTTCTTGGCATCCAGGAAGAGGGGCTCGAGCCCAGAGAAGGTGAGTGACTCATCTGAGGTCTCAGTGGTTGGGGAACCTCAAGGGCTTCAAGCCAGGTCCTCATAGCACAGAGCCTCTCTAGGTCCCCCCTGCAGAGTGGGGATTACACCATGCAAAGGCTTGCTGAGCTGCTTTCCTGGCCTCCTCCTGTTGCACCTGCCCACATCCCCCGTGGCCTGCTCCGGCCACGCAGTGAATCACCCTCTCCAAGCCCACATGCTTTCCCACCTCCCACTTTAACACACCCCGCTTCCTCTGCCTACAGTGCTCTCCTCCGCACCTCCAGCTGTCCTGTACCCTCTCCGCCTCCAGCAACCAGCCCCATCTCACTTGGCCTACAAACCCTTCCTCAGCCCAGGGCCGAGCGGCTGTCTCTCCCTCATCACATCACTGCCATGGCTTTCACCTACTGCCTCTCTTGGTTGTATGCTTGGCTTCTTCCTCAGCACCCTGTGCACATGTGCCCAAGCTCGTGTGAGTGGGGTGCAAGTGAACCCCTGAGTAGCTAGACTCCCATCACCTCTTCACTGTCCTTCTCACCTCCCCGACTCCTTGGCCCCACGCTCCAGCCCCACTACCTTGTTTTGTTTCTTGGACACGTCATGTCTGTCCCCAATAATGGCTGCCTATTGCAGTTAGCATGCCATCAAGCACTGAGGATCCTGTCCACCTAGTGGCTCCTTCCCATCCCCCAGTATTCTCAAAGTTCATCTTCTCTGGAAGACCTTTCTTAGTCACCCCAAGGCAGTCACTATTTATCCCATCACTTGGTCATGTCTATCACTGCCTCATTATCTTAAGGGCCAGATTAGCTGAGTTCAAATCCTGGCTCTATTATTTTTTAGCTATGAGTCTTTGGGCAAGCTTTCTAGTTTCTCTATGCCTCAATTTCCTGATAGGAATAAAGTGGGGATAACATGAGTGCCATGGAACAGTTACAAGGATTAAATGAATTCAAGCACATAAGTTCTCAGAATAGTGCATAGTTGGCCCACCATACATAACCATTAGCTCTCCATATTTCTACTTATTTACTTGTTTATTGTCTGTCTTCCTCCTAGAGTGCAAGCTCTGAAATTATGGGGAACGTGTCTGTCTCATTCAGCCTTCTCTTGCCAGGGCCTACTAAATGTTCAGACACAAAGTAAGTTGTATAGTACAGTTGTTGATTATGGCTGGATGATGGATGAATGGAGCAAGAAGTGAACATGTCTGCTCATCCATGGTGGTTATAGCTTTCTGTGCTCTTCTCTCCCACTCCAAATAGCAGCTAACAATAGTGAGTTCACCTGCAACCAACTACACATTCATTGGTGGAACATATCCAATCTGTAGTACACAGTGAATACCCAGGAAAGGTTTGGCTGAGGAGAAAGGCCCCTTGGTATACAAATGATATTTCAGTGAGGAGGGAACATGAAGGGGCTGTGGTTCAGGATGCAGTACTATGGGCTCTGAGGCCCCCAGGCACAGGATTTGTGTGGGGCAGACTCTGTCTAGAGGTGCTTTGCTAAGGGGTAGGTGGCAGGAGCGGATCACCCTGGACAGGCACTCAGCTGGTGCTGGCACCCTTGAGAGTTGGTTAAGGAGGCTGTGGTGAGCACGGAGAGCTCCAACATCGTGGTGGCATCAGGGCTGCCCTGAAGGGCCCAAAGTATGGGCCACACTGGATCAGGACAGAGGGGCAGTCCAGGAAGGAGGACGGGGGAAATCATGCAGGAGAGTCTGGGCCACCAGATTCGGGGAGCCACATCATTCAAGGAACCATTCCTGAAGATGAGCGGTGGCCAGCAAGGACAGTTTGCCCCAGAAGAGGCAGCTTGAACTTTACCTGCACCAGGTTCCAGCCTTGGAGGGACTCAGCAATGATGGACGTGACAGATGGACAGACGCCTCCAAACACCATCAAATGGTTCGGCCCATATTTTATTGCATCATAGAAGGCTTTCAGTCCTTTTGCATTGTCACACTGGAAAGCAACACACAGAAAGAGAGGCCAGAATTAGGCACAGCTCTCCTCAGGGGCCAGAGCCCAACCGTGCAGTCACACAAACCAACTCTGCCCCGTGGGAAGTCTTCAGCTTCCATCCTCCCGTGGTCAGGCCTCTCATGAGCCGTGGGCCATGTGGTGAGCTCAGTAAGCTATGACTCTGACACCCTGTCCTCCTCCCACCAAGCACCTTCCAACCCAGGATCCACTGCAGCCTCTTGACCATCTTCCTAGAGCACACAGAAGAAAATCCTCCCCAGTGCCTCATCCTGCATCTCCATTTCCCAAGGCAATTTATGTTTTATTTTTAAATTTATTTTTAATTTTATTGGTCTATGTGTGAAGTACAAAATGATTACATTCATCATGGTGAATTAGAAGATGTACACAGCACATCTCAATTATTTTTACTTCCACTTCCTTTCTCTCCCTCCCTCCCCTCCATGTCTCGGTCCCTTTCTTATTTGTGAATCCACACCCTCTGCGATTATAAACAAACAAAAATAACAAGTGTTGATGAGAGTGTAGAGAAACCAGAACACCTGTGTGTTACTAGTGAAAATATAAGATCATTCCATTGAAGATGGGCACAACCCCCAGAAAGTCAGCCATGGAACTATACAACCCAGAAAATTCATTTCTAGATGTGTACCCAAGAGCTGAGAGCAGAGACTCAGGGACACATTTGTTCACTGGGTTCACAATCTTAGAACACACAACAGTCCAAAGATAGAACCATCCCACTCAACAGACGGATGAACAAGCTGTAGTACACACACGATGTCCGAGGTACTATTCCACATAAAAGGAGGGAGGTGCTGACGCTTGCTGCACTGTAGATGGACCCTGAGGACAGGATGCAAGATGAAATAAGCCAACAAAAGGAAGTACCTGGTGTCCAATTCAGACAGAGAACAATTTCAGTTTTAAAACTGGTCCTGTTGATGGTGGTTGCCAGGGGCAAGGAAAGGGAATAATGGGGAGTGAGTGTTTAATATGATGAGTTTCAGTTTATGGTGATGGAAATGTTCTAGGGACGGAGGGTGCTGGTGTGGCCCAGCTCTGTGAACGTACTCTATACCACAGTGCTGTGTGCCTAAAGATACCTAACATGATAAACTTTGAGAAGATAATGATGAATCTATAGGAAAGAATTCATTTGGAAGCCCTTGTCAAGCGGTGCTTTTGCGCAGCCCGAGGCCGGATGCTGAGGATTGATAAAGGCTTGGTGCAGACCCTGCCGAGGAGCTCACGTAGCAGACAGGAAACCTGGCCAATGGGACAGTGCATGGCCATGAAAAGAGGACAAATGTCCCTGAGTGTTGGGGTAGTTATGGCTCACGTCCCACCTTGTGCTTCCCTCATCACAGTCACATGTCCCTGGATGGAGCCCTGGCTTCTAACCAGTCATCTTGCTGACCCCTGGGTGCAGAAAAGCCTGCCCACAACCCAGCAGTCTGAGATCTCTTTCAAAACATAAATTTGTTCTCACTGGCCTGTTTTCTAGGCACTGAAAGCTCAGATTCCTACTGGAATGTAATTCTCAAAAGGTTAAAAACATAATTCTCATGAAAATCGATAGTGTACAAATGTCAATACTTTATGCATCTTATTGATAAGGGGATCTAAAAAATAACAAAGATTCAAAAGAAATTGAGAAATAGGGATTTTTATGGCAAATAAAAGTGATAATGAATAAGACTGTTAAATTAGATATAAAACTGAGTAATGTTCTATAGGGCAATAAAGTTATAATCTTTGGAGATAGAAAAGAAAATCATTGAAAACTAGCACATCTTATCAGTTGTAGAAAATCATAAATATCTGGATCTTACTCTGCTAGAAAAGTTCCATCACCCAGTCTGATGACCCTGAGGCAGGCAGTCTGATGACCCTTTAGCAAGGTCTCTACATATTAGGCTATCTGGTTGCCTGAGCACATCTTTGAATTTACATGTTTGGGATCATTTTCTTAACACTCCTTGTCATAATTCAAGCACACATGCCATTCAGCCCCCACCTCCCACTCTGGCCTGATTTTCCTCCACCTCCCTGGTGATCAGCAAGTAAGGCCCTACCAGTTTCCTTCAGTTCCCTGAAATCAAAAGGTATTTCCTTCCCATCTCTAGGCCACTGTACTTGCTCTTTTCTTTGCAAAAGTATTATCCTCTAGTTCTCAGTATAGTCTGTCCTTGCCTGCATTCAGATCTTCTCACGCCAAAGTGGCACCCACCCCATCATCTTGAAAGTGTGGCATGGCTACATTAATGCCGTAACAGAGTTCCTCAGATGATCTAACATCCTCTTGTCTACCTTTTATTTATTTATTTTTTTGCTTAGATATTGGTTGATTTACTTAATTGGGCTATAAACTATGGCAAGAAAAGGACTTTGTCGTATTTCCCCAGAGCTTAGATGGACCTGCATCAGGATTTGGTAGGTACCTGCTGAATGCTAAGAAGCCTATGATGCTGTGCCTCATCTTGCTTTCTTCTATGTCTACCTCCATGTCTCTGGCCTTTGTCCTTCTCTATAATCTGTCCTTCTTCTTTCTGCTTGTTCCTGTCTACCCTTTTAGTAATCACTGTATGGGACAGAGGAGGTTAGTATTTGTTAGTGTTTAAAATTCCCAGCACTGGGAGACTGATACAGAAGGTTGGAAAGTTTGAGCCCAGCCTAAATAACTTAGCAAAACTCTATCTGAAATTGAAAAAAACATAAAGGGATAGAGGATATAGCTCGGTGTAAAGGACTTGTATTCAATCTCTAGTACAAAACAGAGAGAGAGAGAGAGAGAGAGAGAGAGAGAGAGAGAGAGAGAGAGAATGAATAAATGAAATGAAATTTCCCTGAGTGGGTGCCAAATGATAGAAAAATGATCTCACCGTGTCACCGTAGTCCTGGCCTCAGAGAAGACCCTATCTACTGGGGACATGAGACAGGAGCCAGCCTGGGTCCCCACATCAAATAGGAAACGTGCTGGAGAGCAGGTCCAGGCTCTGGAGACCCAAGGAAGAGCCAGGGAGGGGTCTGACAGAGGGGGCTCTGGAGAGTAGATCATTGGCAAATGAGCAGTATCAAGGCAAGCAGAGAGACAGGAAGTAAGGGCACAGAAAAGGGCACAAGGTGGCCAGGACAGAAAAGGAGAGCTCTGAGTCCCAGGACAGGCAGTTTGGATTATGTCTTATATATAACTGGGAAATAATTCAATGTCTACATTTTAATTTGGAAATTAGCTAAATAATTTTTTTTGGTCAAGAAAGAAAAACAAAAAAAGAAAAGACAGAGAAAAACGAAAGAAGGAGGGAACTGGAGAGAAGATTGCTCTTGCTGTTTCTCGGAGTCCTGCATCCACTCTCCCTGCCCCAGGCCTGGAAGCCATGCTTTGCACAGTGCGTGAGCGTGGGCTGATAGGCTAGTGCAGTTTGTGCTTTAATTGCATCTACTGTGATTTACTGAACATTTCTAGCTTTATTACATTTCTGTAATTATTTTTGCCTGTTTTCTAACCTAATCATAATCATGACAGTATCAAAAGATTTAAAATCAAAGTTGCATTAAAATAACATCAAAAACAATGAACTCATTAATACTTATTAATATTTGTTTGCTTAGCAAACATTTTCAGAATACTTAGTCTGTCCAAGGCTTTGCATTAGTCATGATGTTGCAGCTTCTCACAAACATACAACTCTTGGATAAGTGAACTCAAAATCTGAGGTTATCTGAGAACCAGTATCGGAGCTGAAAGAACCTTGTAGTCTTCTCAAGTGTTTGCCTGACCCAGTGTTCATCAGATTAAGTATGGTTGGCAGAACTTTGGCCCCAGTGGCCTTCACTCTTTGGTGTTAATCTTGTGAATATTATATTTTAGGGAAAAAGATTTTTGCAGGTCTAATTAGGCTACTAATCAACTGTCCTTGAACTGTCATCCAGGTGGGCGCAATGTAGTCGCAAAAGCCCTTAAAAGCACATCTCTTTGGCCACTAGCAGATGGAAAATCAGAGCTGGAGAGCCTGGCATGGGTTTGATGTGCCACTGTTGGTTTGAAGACATAGCCACATGCGAAGGCAATAGGGATCTCAGTCCTGCAGTTTCAAGCACCTGGATTCCACCAATATTGAGTGTACCTGGAAGCAAATTACACCCCCAACCCCTACCCCCTCAGAACCCAGCCCAGCTGACACCTTGGGAAGCCCTGAGTGTAGCGCAGCAGAGAGCCGCACTGTGCCCAGACCCCCAGCAGGGAACTGTGAGATGAGAAATGAGTGTGGCCGAAACCATTAAGTGTGTGGTGATCTGTTAAGCAGCCATGGAAAAGCAATGTGCTCAGGTAAAAAGAAAAGCAAGAACAATGTCAGGAAGGTTTTCTTAGAGCTCAATTAATTCCACTGAAAGACTACCCTCAATTTATAGGTAAGGTCCCTCCAAGCTATGCGGTGTCAATGTGTTTTTCTGTTGTACCATGAGGATATTAGAGGGTTTTGTTTTCAATGTGCTGATATGGTAAAAGAAAAATGTTGGCACCCTGGTGCTCTACCCCCCTCCCCCTTTCTTAGTGCGTGAACCCAAACCTCCAAGCAATGCCAATGTAGCCCCTACCCTTGCTTTCACATGAAGAAACTGAGGACCAGCAAGAGGGGATTTGCTTCCTGTCTTGCCAAGATCAGAACAGGAATCTCTGGATTCCCAGTTTAGAGCTTTCTGATAATTTAGAGGCTGTAAAGCAAGGGCCAACAGCAGCTAAAGCTAACGGCATCTAGAAAGGATCATTTCCCTCAGAATAATCCTGCAATCCCAGACCTCCTCTCTAGCAGTGCTCTTGGGCTGACTCAAAAGAAGCAATCCATTGACGACTGGGGACTAGTCCTTCCCTGGCTGCCCTAATGTGAGCACTGAGTGAACAGCAGGCTAAAAGTCCCAGTGGCGTGGCTGTCCCACGTGATGTCCTTTTCCTCATCTTCATGTCTCAAACTGTC